ATCCCTTTTGTATTTCTATTCAACAACCCCCCCTCCCCCACTGCGTCCGTCGTCTCCTCTCGCCCATCACTGGGGTCTCTGCATTCAAAATCCCTCCTTTGTAACTTTTTGTAGGGTGGCTGTTTTGATACCAGGGTGTTGGGTTGTGTGTAAAATCAATAAACTCGAAGGACAAAGCTGGGGGAGCTGGTTGGCTCTTGTTCCCTTTTGTATTTCTATTCAACAACCCCCCCTCCCCCACTGCGTCCGTCGTCTCCTCTCGCCCATCACTGGGGTCTCTGCATTCAAAATCCCTCCTTTGTAACTTTTTGTAGGGTGGCTGTTTTGATACCAGGGTGTTGGGTTGTGTGTAAAATCAATAAACTCGAAGGACAAAGCTGGGGGAGCTGGTTGGCTCTTGTGTGGAGGGTGGGGAACGACAGACACATGCTGCCAGTTTCCCCTGGGCAGTGGCCCTGGCTGGCAGGACATGACTTCACCCTGGGGCCCCCCATCAACCCCAGTATCCTGGCCTCCCACAGCTGGGGGTGGGGCAGGGGCTCCCTTCAGCACAGCAAGTGAATAGGAATTTCTCTGCCCCGAAGCTGGGGCTGGCTTTTTGGTCCCAGAAGAAGCTGGTAGCAGGTAGTTCCGCAGGCCCCTGGAGGCTGCACGAGATGGGGGAGCAGACAGCTAAGAAAGGGTGAACGCCCCAGCTGCAGCAGTATGCTAGTGCCAGTCACCCTGCTCAGACTGGGGCCCCTCCCAGACCCAGGAGTCCTGGGGCCCCCTAGGGCTGGCCCTAGGCTGTTAGGCGTTCTCTCCTGTTGGCCTTCCCAATGCCTTGCGTGTGACCGCGTTGGTTGCCGGGTTCACGGCTGCACCATCTGATTTCCAGGTGTGATTCTGCTGTGTGTGCCCAGGGGGCTGAGCCGCCCCACAGAAACCAATCGTCCATGTCCCCTACCGCGGTGTATTCGTAGGACTGATTGGCACGGGCCGAGCACACTGGCCGCATCTTCCTTCCAACGCTTGGATTCCCCTCTTGGTGCTAGCGTGGCCCCAGAGCCTGGTGCCCCAGGGGCCTAGCCCCCGCGGCCAGGTCCTGCAGGGCACCCAAGTGGTGAAGTTCCCCCAGTGGTGCTTGGCAGACAGGGCCGGCTTCTATTTGTGTTTCTCTTTTCTCCTGCCCCCTGTGCAGCAGCAGGTCCTCCCTCTGCGTTGGTCACCACTGGGGCCTAATCGCTGCCACCCAGCTGGGGGTGGTGGCTTTGGGGCCCTGGTTTACCGGGCGTGGTGCTAACGGCTCCGTGGGGCCTTTTCTTTCCACCGCTGGGCAGCGTTCCTCTGGCATCCCCAAGCTTCTCCCGCAGACTCAGCCGCCCAAACGCACCTGGGCCTGGCCCAGGGCAGCCTGTTGCGGTTTGGCCC